TATCAATGCATTCTTTTGAGAAGTGTCTGTTCATATCCTTTGCTCACTTTTTGATGGGGTTGATTTTTTCTTGTAAATTTGTTTATATTATTTGTAGATTCTGGATATTAGCCCTTTGTCAGATCAATAGATTGCAAAAATTTTCTCCCATTCTGTAGATTTCCTGTTCACTTTGATGATAGTTTATTATTATTATTATTATTATTTTGCTATGCAGAAGCTCTTTAGGTTAATTAGATCCCATTTGTCCATTTTGGCTTTTATTGCCATTGCTTTTGGTGCTTCAGTCATGAAATCTTTGCCCATGCCTATGTCCTGAGTGGTATTGCCAAGGTTTTCTTCTAGGGTTTTTATGGTTTTAGGTCTTAGGTTTAAGTCTTTAATCCATCTTGAGTTAATTTTTGTATAAGGTGTAAGGGGAGGGGTCCAGTTTCAGTTTTCTGCATATGGCTAGCTAGTTTTCCCAAAGCCATTAAATAGGGAATCCTTTCCCCATTGCTTGTTTTTTGTCAGGTTTGTCTAAGATCAGATGTTTATAGATGTGTGGTGTTATTTCTGAGGCCTCTGTTTAGTTCCATTAGTCTATATATCTATTTTGGTACCAGTACCATGCTGTTTTGGTTACTGTAGCATTGTAGTATAGATTAAAGTCAAATAGCATGATGCCTCCAGCTTTGTTCATGTTGCTTAGGATTGTCTTGGCTATACAGGCTGTTTTTTGGTTCCTTGTGAAATTCAGAGTAGCTTTTTCTAATTCTGTGAAGAAAGTCAGTGGTAGCTTGATGGGGATAGCATCGAATCTATAAATTACTTTGGCCAGTATGGCCATTTTCATTATACTGAGTCTTCCTATCCATGAGCATGGAATGTGTTTCCATTTGTTTGTGTCCTCTCTTATTTCCTTGAGCAGTGGTTTGTAGTTCTCTTTGAAGAGCTCCTTCACATCCCTTGTAAGTTGTATTCCTAGGCATTTAATTATCTTTGTAGCAATTGTGAATGGGAATTCACTCATGATTTGGCTCTCTGTTTGTCTATTATTCGTGCATAGGAATGCATGTGATTTTTGCTCATTGATTTTCTATCTTTAGACTTTGCTGAAGTTGCTTTCAGCTTAAGGAGATTTTGGGCTGAGACGATGGGGTTTTCTAAATATACAATCATGTCCTCTGCAAACAGAGACAATTTACTTCCTCTCTTCCTATTTGAATACCTTTTATTTCTTTCTCTTGCCTGATTGCCCTGGCCAGAACTTCCAACACTGTGTTGAATAGGAGTGGTGAGAGTAGGCATTCTTTGTCTTGCGCCAGATTTCAAAGGGAATGCTTCCAGTTTTTGCCCCTTCAGTATGATATTGGCTATGGGTCTGTCATAAGTAGCTCTTATTATTTTGAGATGCAATCCATCAATACCTAGTTCATTGAGAGTTTTTAGCATGAAGGCTGCTGAATTTTATCAAAGGCCTTTTCTGCATCTATTGAGATAATCATGTGGTTTTTGTCATTGGTTCTGTTTATGTGATGGATTACATTTATTGATTTGCTTTTGTTGAACCAGCCTTGCATCCCAGGGATGAAGCCAACTTGATCTTGGTGGATAAGCTTTTTGTTGTGCTGCTGGATTCAGTTTGCCAGTAGTTTATTGAGGATTTTTGCATTGATGTTCATCAGGGATATTGGCCTGAAATTTTCTTTTTTTATGTGTGTGCCTGTGCCAGGATTTGGTATCAGGATGATGCTGGCTTCATAAAATAAGTTAGAGAGGAGTCCTTCTTTCTCTGTTGTTTGGAATAGTTTCAGAAAGAGTATTACCAGCTCCTCTTTGTACTTCCAGTAGAATTCAGCTGTGAATCCGTCTGGTCCTGGGCTTTTGTTTGTTGGCAGCCTATTAATTACTGCCTGAATTTCAGAACTTGTTATTGGCCTATTTAGGGATTCAACTTCTTCCTGGTTAATTTTGGGAGGGTGTATGTGTCCAGGAATTTATCCTTCTACATTTTCTAGTTTATTTGCGTACAGGTGTTTATAGTATTCTCTGATGGTAGTTTGTGTTTCTGTGAGATCATTAGTGATGTGCCCATTATCATTTTTTATTGTGTCTATTTGTTTCTTCTCTCTTTTCTTCCTTATTAGTCTGGCTAGCAGCCTATCTATTATATGTTGATCTTTTCAAAAAACCAGCTCCTGGCTTCATTGATTTTTTTGAAGGGTTTTTTGTGTCTCTGACTCCTTCAGTTCTGCTCTGAACTTAGTCATTTCTTGTCTTCTGCTAACTTTTGAGTTTGTTTACTCTTGCTTCTATAGTTCTTTTTAATTGTGATTTTAGGATGTCAATTTTATATCTTTCCTGCTTTCTTCTGTGGGCATGTAGTGCGATAAATTTCCCTCTAAATATATTTCTATAATCATACAAGAACTATAGAATCTTAGCAAATAATCTTTAAACCCTAGAAATTTAATTAAAAAGCCCACCTCCCTAATATTTTAGTTTCTACTTTTTGAGAACTTAACTTGATTTATTTTCAACAATTAAAGGATTTACAGTTCATAAATCATTTTAGGCAATCATGTGATGATTTTATTCTTATGAAAGTACATGAATTAAAAGTCATGGTTGCAAATATATTTTTTAGAGCCAGACTTTCCTAAGTACAAATTCCTCTTGTGCTATTTACACTTGAGTGACCTTGGGCAAAGTACATAACTTCTCAAAGAACCTGACCCATGTGAAGGTAATATTGGTACCTATGTCAGGTAATTGTGAAGATTACCTAGATAATCTATGTGAAATTACCTAGATAAAACAGAAAAGTATGGTATTCATTAATATCTTTTCTGTGTGTGACTTGATCAAAAGTTTTATGGATAAGAGTAAGAGATTTGCCAGTCTTTGGTTTTCCGCTTATGTAATACAATCTCCTAGTTTTCTCATCTGCAATATAAGATTGTTAGAGCACCCTCTTTTGTGACTTCATTGATCTTAATCTCTTGATTCCTCAGTGAAAGGGCATGTGATTGAAATTATGTCTACCCTACCTTACCTGAAATCCTTAGGGGCAGATGTGTTTTAAAATTCAGAAATATTTGGATTTTACAAAGGTTACACATTGTGCATACCAAGTATTACATAACAGTCCCCAGCAGGATCTGGCGCAGAACTTCATAATCAAATGTATTAGTATTTCTACCATAAAGTATATGAATAGTCACACTAAGTAGAGAACACAAAAACTATTATATAAATAGCATTACATTATTTTATGTTAGATTTGTGCCACCAAATGAGTTTTGATATCAAGACTATATAAAACTTTTCATTTTATGAAAGTTTTAAATTTTAGGGTTAAAGATTAGCATTTATGCACCTGTGTAAACTACTCCACGGATTGCTTCCACCACTAGAAGTATGCTGTAATAAAAATATGATATAATAAAACTCAAAATTTTGGATTCAGAAACTCTAATTCCATCCTTGATTTTTACTGTCTAGCTTTGTGAAATCAGTTAACTATATTTCTCTGAATCTTAGTTTCTATATATGTAAAACTAGAGTTTGAATAAGAAATTTTACAGGGTTCCTCCTAAGATTAATAGTATATTTCTTTTAGGGAGAAGTGAAGGGGGAAAAAGAAATACATGTATTTATTATCACTGAACTGTACATTTTAAAATGGTAAAGACAGTAAATTTTATATGCATATTTTACCTCAATTAAAAAGTACATAAAAATTTTAAGTAGTCTATCTTAAATGAATGAAACTCTGGACGTTATTAGATTAACTATAACTAACTAATTCATTCAATGCATAAATATTTATTAAGTCTTACTATATGCCAGCACTTTTCAAAGTCTTGTAGACACTGTGATGAGCAATTCTGTTCTCATTAAATTCATATTCTAGTGGAATGGAGACTAACAAACAAACAAAAAAAAAAACCCAGCAGATAAATAAACAAGAACATTTCATATACTGATTGATGCTATAATGAAATTTAAAAAGAAAATAATTATAGAGAGTAACATGGGACAGATATTTCAAGTTCAGTAGTAGAAAAGACGTCTCTGTGGAGGTGACATTTGAGTTTGAATCACAAGGATAAGAGGTTAGCTCTATGAAAATATAGGGGCAGAGCATTCCAGAAAGAAAAGATGACAAATACAAAAGCCCTAAGGCAGGAAATAGGCCTGTAGAACTGAAATATAGAAGTTAATAAGAGCGTTACAGAAAATGAAGCTAGAGGAAAATGTAAGGTCAAGATTGTATTGGGTTTTGCAAGCCATAGTAAGAAAGTAAAGATTGAAACCAACCTTTTGCCTTAAGAATGCTTGTATAAGACCTATTAATCCCCAGAGACCTATTATAATCAGTCCAAAGGAATAAAGCCTCTATTTGTCTCAAGGAAATGTTAAAATGAAAATAAAATTCAGTGATACCAAAAAAAAGTTCCAGTGAAATATCAAATCAATAGCTGTAAGAAATAAAATAAATGCAATCATTTGATTGAGGTGCTAAAACAAATTGCTTCCAATGGTTTCTAGAACCTTTGTACAGAAACAAGCCAAAATAAGTTTATCAGCAACAGTATTAGAATAATTATCTGACAGTACATCTTTAGGTATTGTAGGCCAAGTGCAAAATCAGACAAATAAGAGAAAAAGCCAGATACTATATAAACTGGAAAGATATGAATTGTAAATATCAAAAGATACTCCTCAAATTCATTTAATGTAGAAACTTTCTTCTGTTCTTAACAACACAGAACTATTAATTATTGAAATATTTTATTGTATATTACCAATACTTATTGGATGTATATCAATTCCAATTACACAAATACCAACAAGCTTATTTTAAAAGCAAAACACATTTTTCAATGGTCAGAACTCCAAAGATGGTGGCTATTGCTATCAATTTCTATAAATGAAGCAATTAGAGTTTACATAGCTTAAAAGAGAAACTGACATATTAATACCTACTGCTTACCACATTCTGTCTTCCTTAGGGCCACATAACAAGTCCCTAAACCAGCATATATAAATCCATCTATGCTTTGCCATAGTTCCTGAAGACATCCTTTGTACAAAGGTAAGTTTCCCAAGAATCCCAGCAATTTTTAAAATAAATCCAACTCAAAGTATTCAGACTATGAGCCTAACCATTGTTTTCAGGAGTGTAGGCAGTAAGTACAAGCTAGAGTACCGATAGTAAAAAAATTCAACCTTTGGTGGAACAGAGTCAAAACATATAGTACAAAGATCAATGCCATCTGAAATATGTGAATGCTTAGAAATGTGATTATCAGTAAAATGAAATTTATACTCCGCTTTCTATACTATAATAGCAACTAGTAAAATCATCCTATGCCTTTGATTGACACAAGATAATGTCTTTCCCTCTTTAAAGGAAATTGTAAAAACATTCTTTCCAGTCTACATCCAATAAGATAAGGCACTCTGATGATATATTTTAAGTTCTAGTAATAAAAGGATGTGTCAGCATCCTTACCACCTAAAGACCATAAATAGCACAGTTTGTTCAGCCTCCTGAAAGATGTTCTCAGAGTTCAGACCCAATTCTATTAAGCACTAGTCCCAACCCAATTTATGTATGATTAGAAGATACACATGTCCTTGGATGGTTCTCTCTATAAAACATTCTAGTAGGCTGGTAAAGATAGCTCTACACTGTACCTTTTCTTCTAATATTATTACTTTTTCTCTTCCACCTGCATTATCCAAAGGGACAGTGATTTAGGTTACATGTATGATGAATTCTCTGAAGATCTAACACTGACTCAAGTGGATGCTCCAGAATTCATCCTAGAACTTGACCTAGAGATCTGTTTTGCTTGGTGTTTCACTTATGGGCTTCCTTAAAGTCCAAACTTACAAAATAATTTAAAGTCACATTGAAAGAAAAAAAAAAGGATGCTAATTGCTTCTGGTTTCCACAGCAAAACAAAAACCATCCACTCACCTTTTATTGACAAGTGATATATTGAGAATAAGAGATATTTTCTCAAGCAGTTTGCCTGATAAAGAAATTTTAGAATTAGAAAACTTAGTTTTAGAATTACAAAAAGATTTTACTTCCCCTCAGCAGGGGCACTGGTGGAATTTCAGACAAGAGAGAGATTCATTGTATAAATCTGTCCCACCCATTTGAAGACTATTCATTTTTTCCTGGAAGTTTTTCACTAACTGCCAATATGCCCTCAGTCATGTGACAAACAAAAAATTCTCACCAACACTTACAAACAAGCCTTGAGCATTGTAACACCCTTGAGTTGAGAACCACAAAAACTACTTCATTCTGCAATGAATAGACTTCAAAATAAAATGCTTTGCTAGAGGATACAAAGACAGTAACTGTCAGAATTGGGACTATTTAGTGCTTTTTCCATAAGAACACACCTGCCTCTGAGAAAAACATACAATAAAAACGAGACCAATTTTCCTCATTTTCTCCATGGAAAGCTAGTTGATAACATCATCAAATAATTAGAGTGGAGAATGATGTAATCTATCTAAGTCATTGGCACTATATAGAAATATAATGCAAATAAGAAACAATCTTCCAAAACTGACAAAAATATTTGACTGCTTCCAGCAACCTATTTAACACTTAGTCAAGAGTGCACTGAAAAGAGCGAAAGAGTAAGTAAATATAGATAAGAATACTTTCTTTGACTTCGACTGACTGTACGACCTTAAATTATACTATTTATATATTCTCTCCAGGCCTCAGTTTCTCCAAATGTAAAATAATGCATTTGAGTTAAATTATTCTTAATGATTTCCTATATGAGAAATTTTTCACTTCATGGTTTTCAAACAGATTTCACTTAATGCAGTTCAAGTTTATTTTACATTATGCAAAGATAGGTAAGAGAATTCCAGTCCCTTATAAGACTCCTCCATTTATACAGTTTTATTCTACTATAGACAGGGAGTGGAGTTTTCTGGGTAATCAATAAGCTGGCAAACAAAAGAATACATCATATATTACCAATAGTATAATTTATTCCTTCAGCAAACATTTACTATTGAGTATCCTTTTTACTATTTTAGGTTCTAGAGGCACATATGAATTACTTGTTTTCCCTGATTTCAAGGAAAGCATAACCTGGTCAACAAGTTAGGTATATAAACAGATCATTAAAATACATTGTGGGCCAGGCGTGGTGGCTCACGCCTGTAATCCCAGCACTTTAGGAGGCCAAGGCAGGTGATCACCTGAGGTTGGGAGTTTGAGACCAGCTTGACCAACACAGAGAAACTCCATCTCTATTAAAAATACAAAATTAGCCAGGTGTGGTGGCACAAGCCTGTAGTCCCAGCTATGTGGGAGGCTGAGGCAGGAGAATCACTTGAACCTGGGAGGCAGAGGTTGCAGTGAGCTGAGATCGCACCATTGCACTACAGCCTAGGCAACAAAAGCAAAACTCTGTCTCAAAACAAAAACAAAAACAAAAACACACAATGTGATAGGCATTATAATTACAAATATAATTATTAGACAAAGCAATGAATTGCATTTACCATTATAGTGGTAATACAAATAAATTTAAAAAATGATTTGCTGATTAAACAAATAGATTAATCATTGCTTTTGGGTTTGTTATGGATATAAAATATTAAAAGACCATAGAAAGAAGGATATTCTAATTAATATAGGACTCCAGTTACTAAAATATCAAATGAGTATTTTTTCCCGACTATTTTGCTAAAGTGATTTTAAGAAAATGAATGGATTTTGGAGTATAAAAAAATTAGTTTCAGTTCCAGCACTGACACTTAGATATTAGGTGGCTTTTAGACAAATTTTATCACCCTTAGAGCCTGTGTCATCATTTGTAAAATTAAGAGAATTGTTGTAAGCAATACATAAGGTAATACATATAAAGTGACAAGTTCATAGAAGGTCTTTTACCAATATTAAATATCTTCTCATTTTCAGTGGGGAAAAATTTAATGTCATGTACCTGCCTTCAGAGATAGTATTTTATATCAAATTGTATTTTCCAAAAATAGTTGCAATATTTTTTGTTCCACATGCTCTTGCTAAAGTTTGTCATCCCTGTTGAGATGTAGAGTGTATGAATCCTTCCCTTGAACCTTTTGTAGCACTTGCAGTAGCCTTTGTGACGACTTGCCTCAATTAATAGAGTTTGGCAGAAGTTGTGTTATATTTCTTTCAAGATAGTCTCAAAAGGAGATGTAGCTTCTCTCTGACTCCCTCTTTCTTGAACTATGTATATTTGGACCCTCAGATAACATTAAGACTTCTGGTTGCTCTGAAGTAGCCACGGTGGAAGAATTTCATGGAGAAACCATACAAAGATAGAGCAAAGATGCCCCAACTAGAAAGATAAATAATCATTTTGTGATTCTTGGCTAAAAAGTACATTCAAAACCCTAAGTGTCCTCACTGTTACTAATGTCCTAAATCAGAGCATATGATAAAAACAGGAGAAAACAAATTATCAGCTCCTGTTCCCTGATGATTTGAAAAGTATGAGTGCAATTGTTCTAAATAATAAATAACAGGCACAAGTAAACATCTAGCTCATGAAATCAAAATCTTCAAATACAGAAGGAAAGAAATGCCCATAAGAGAAGATAAAATTTTTGAAAGTTAATTTACTGGAGGGGCGGAACAAGATGGCCGAATAGGAGCAGCTCCAGTCTCCAACTCCCAGCGCAAGCGACACAGAAGACCGGTGATTTCTGCATTTTCAACTGAGGTACTGGGTTCATCTCACTGGGGAGTGCCGGACGATCGGTGCTGGTCAGCTGCTGCAGCCCGACCAGCGAGAGCTGAAGCAGGGCGAGGCATTGCCTCACCTGGGAAGCGCAAGGGGGAAGGGAGTCCCTTTTCCTAACCAGGGGAACTGAGACACACAACACCTGGAAAATTGGGTAACTCCCACCCCAATACTGCGCTTTAAGCAAACAGGCACACCAGGAGATCATATCCCACACCTGGCAGGGAGGGTCCCACACCCACGGAGCCTCCCTCATTGCTAGCGCAGCAGTCTGTGATCTACCGGCAAGGCAGCAGCGAGGCTGGGGGAGGGGCGCCCGCCATTGCTGAGGCTTAAGTAGGTAAACAAAGCTGCTGGGAAGCTCGAACTGGGTGGGGCTCACAGCAGCTCAAGGAAACCTGCCTGTCTCTGTAGACTCCACCTCTGGGGACAGGGCATAGTAAACTAAACAAATGCAGCAGACACCTCTGCAGACGCAAACGACTCTGTCTGACAGCTTTGAAGAGAGCAGTGGATCTCCCAACGCAGAGTATGAGATCTGAGAAGGGACAGACTGTCTGCTCAAGTGGGTCCCTGACCCATGAGTAGCCTAACTGGGAGACATCCCCCACTAGGGGCAGTCTGACACCCCACACCTCACAGGGAGGAGTACACCCCTGAGAGGAAGCTTCCAAAGCAAGAATCAGACAGGTACACTCGCTGTTCAGAAATATTCTATCTTCTGCAGCCTCTGCTGCTGATACCCAGGCAAACAGGGTCTGGAGTGGACCTCAAGCAATCTCCAACAGACCTACAGCTGAGGGTCCTGACTGTTAGAAGGAAAACTATCAAACAGGAAGGACACCTACACCAAAACCCCATCAGTACATAACCATCATCAAAGACCAGAGGCAGATAAAAACCACAAAGATGGGGAAAAAGCAGGGCAGAAAAGCTGGAAATTCAAAAAATAAGAGCGCATCTCCCCCGGCAAAGGAGCGCAGCTCATCGCCAGCAACGGATCAAAGCTGGACGGAGAATGACTTTGACGAGATGAGAGAAGAAGGCTTCAGTCCATCAAATTTCTCAGAGCTAAAGGAGGAATTACGTACCCAGCGCAAAGAAACTAAAAATCTTGAAAAAAAAGTGGAAGAATTGATGGCTAGAGTAATTAATGCAGAGAAGGTCCTAAACGAAATGAAAGAGATGAAAACCATGACACGAGAAATACGTGACAAATGCACAAGCTTCAGTAACCGACTCGATCAACTGGAAGAAAGAGTATCAGCGATTGAGGATCAAATGAATGAAATGAAGCGAGAAGAGAAACCAAAAGAAA